AAAAAAAAAAATTTGGACAATAATTTTAAACCTGGTATCAGGAAGCACAATTGAATAACGCTGATAGAAACTATGGTTTCATTAACAATTTTATCAACTGTATATAGCTTTAAATCGTTCTAAAAAACTCCTTTCGTTTTCCTACTCTCTCGATCTTCCACTATTTTTTTCTCCCCCCTTCCCCTTTCTTCCTGTGCTTCTCAGAAACCCTTAAACAGACACAAAGTGCTTCGCAATTTGTTGATTAATCTTGGCACCAAAAAAAAAAAACAAACATATTATGATTTATTAGTTCTGCAACGTTAAATAAACTACCATGCTGTTCTCTTATAGCGTACCATTCAATTCTAAGCGTTCCTGTAATACCTTGGTCCTATTGCTTTTTTCTCCTTTTTCTCTGCCTTTTTGTCTTCGTTCTTGTTTTCCTACTTTTTTGGCTTTTGCTTCTTCTCCTTCATTCTTCTTCCTCTCCCTCCTCTTCTTCTTCTTCTTCTTGCCCAGCTGTAAACAAAAAAAGGGCAAAAAACTGCACAATATGTCCTACTGTCCTAGTTCAAAAATAAAGAATCTTTTTTCTTTTTTTCTTTTTCTACCAAAAATCTTTAAGATTTGCCTATGGTATCCTAATAGCTCATTATCGCTCCTAACTTCTATTCACTGAGCTCCTGTTTAAACAGCACTCAGAAAAGGAGAAGGTATCTTCACTTAGAAAACCAAAAAAAATTGAAAAAAAAGAACAAGAAAAAAAAGAGAGAATTATTTTATTCAGAAGATGAGACAAACAGCACATATAAGACCGCTGACGTGGTTGTCTACAATTAATGTTTTCTCATATATTCTATCTTTAAATTTTTTTTACATTTTAATATCTTTATACCTGGTCAAGAAAAAAAAAATGAAAAATCAAAACAAGAACTACCTGACATACATAGAAACTGACAGATGTCCGAATTTGCAGCTGTTGCCTATTTACAGTTTTTTGACAGTAAAAAAAAATTACAAAATAAGAAAAAAAAAGATAAAATTCGACGATTTCTGAATGATTTGGGTTTTAGGAATTGCGTTAATTTTTTTTTTACTTTTTATTCTTACGAATAACTACACTTTAAAAAAACTGTATCTGTGTGTTTCGTTATCAAATTACTTAACACCATTCTTATGCTGTTCACAGCATAATAGGAGTGGTGGCCAGAGGAGGATGAGAAGAAGGGAGGAAAGAGGGGAAGGAAGGAGGAACCATTAGCTGTTGGTAAACATTGACAAAGTTGGGAAACGAGAAAATCAATTAGTGTTGGTGTGTCTTAGTGTGTGCTAGCGTTAGTATTAGTGTTAATGTTAGTGTTATTAGCCGTTTTTAGCATATGTAGAGCCCTAACAGTTATCGTCTTCTTAGGTATTGGTTGCCTCAGTAACCTTTTCTTTTCCTATTTAATTTTAAATCTCTTCGATACAAAATTTCTGTTTATAAACAAAACAGAGAGAAAAGAGAGGAAAAAAGGAAAGCGCAAAGAGGTGGTAAAACTGACAGAACAAATTCGTCACGAAAAAATG